AATTAATTTAAGACAAACTTAAAATAAAAGCTATAGGTATTTTAGGATAGAGGGAATATTTTCTTATTTTAACCTCAAACATTAATTACCTCTTTTATTGAAAAAAAGTAAAAATCAATTTTAAAATAGTAAATTAGTACTTTAAATATATCTATTCTTAAAATTGACAGTAATTTATTATTTTGCTTAACTCTATGTTTAGGTTGAAGATAGTAGAGGAAAGGGGGAAAGAAAACAAATTTTTTTTATTTGATTATAAAAAAATTAAAGGAGAGGAGAGAAAAAATTTCATTATTATTATTTTTTAAAATTTAGTTATTTGTTTAAATAAAAAAGAAAAAGAAAAAGAAAAATCAAGGAAAATAAAATGATGAAATTCTTTTTTTTTTTTTCTTTTTATTCTCCTTCACCGAAAGATAAATTAATTCTAAACGTGTTTCTTAAAGCATCAAATAATGTGAAACGGAGATAGCAATGTAGAGGGTACGTTTGGTATTGCAATTGGAAGTTTTTTTTTTGTGTAAATACATAATATTTTTAAATATACGTGTGTTTAATAATTTTTTTTAAAATTGTTTTTTTAAAAAATTATAGAAAATTACAGTAAATCTATTGTAATTTTATGTATAAAGTCAAAAGCCCTATTTTAGAGGTTTTTGACTATGGCTTGTACAGAAAATACTTAATATTTTAATATAATTATAAAATTACCTATTAAAATTTAATTTCATATAATTTAATTACATCATAATTTATAGTACTTTAATAATTAAAAAATTTTAAAAACTTAAATTATTAAAAATAATAAATATTATATATTTTAATAATTATATATCTTAAATATTTTTAAAATTTTAGTTAATAATTAATAAAATCTATCATATTTTATCAATAATACTTTTAAAAAATAAATAACCAAATACCAAAATAATTTTTAGCTACAATTACAGTACAATATAACTATAGTTAAACACAATTAAATACAATCACAGCATTTCATAACAATTCCAAACGCATTCTATATCTTAAAAAATCTGAAAAGCTTGGTTATATTATCCAAAGGGTTTTTTTTGAACCATGAAAAGTTAAAAAAAAAATATTATAATTATTTCAATAAAAATTTAAAATTTAGTATAAATTAGATTGTTTAATGCACGTTAACAACCTAAGGCGCTGCTAGTGCTGTATCATTCGAAGTTGAAGCCATCATAGCCATAAACATTCAAAATGATTTTTGTATAATTATTTTATTTTATTTTTTATATAATTTAATATATTATTAAAATAATTAATTTTTTTAATTTATGTAAAATTTATAATATTAAATACATCAATTCATTTAATAATATATAAAAATTTTATAAAAAAATATAAAAATATTATTTTTATAAGACCACTAAAAACATCATATTCTTTTATACAGACGAGTACAAGTTCAATTTCAATTACTGTTTTAAAAAAAACAAAGAGAGCCGTGTACAAGTTGGTCCCCGCCTCTTATAACTACTTCAAAGACTTCACGTGCGAAAAAAAAAAAAGACGTGTACAAGTTGGTCCCCGCCTCTTATAACTCCTTCAAAGACTTCACGTGCCAACCGCTAAGGACGGTGGTTCTCGCCAGGCCACAACTAACAGGGCAGGGACCATCTACAAGGCTGCAACACAGGTTCAGGTGTTTTACGAGTCCTATCAAGCCACGTGGTAGCTAGCAATTGGGTTGTTCTGTTTTCTCCGCTGAAATCATTTAGGGAGACTTTGGTTAGAGTACCATTTATTTAAAAAAATTTTATTAAAAAAATAGGTAAAAAGTTATTATTAAAAAAATTAAAAAATTTTATAATAAATTTGAT